GTTTTACTGTCACCACCAGAGCCAAAGACCAGAGCTGGATTCTTAAAATATTCACATGAAATCACACTGGATCCAAACACAGCAAACACACATCTGTTATTATCTGAGGACAGCAGAAAAGTAACAATAATGAGACAAAAGCAGTCTTACTCTGATCATCCAGAAAGATTCACTGGATGGCTTCAGGTCCTGAGTAGAGAGAGTCTGACTGGATGTTGTTACTGGGAGGTGGAGTGGAGAGGGAGAGGAGTTGGTCTTGCAGTTGCATACAAAGATATTGGCAGAGCAGGGAGCTTAGATGAATCAAAATTTGGATTCAATGACAAATCTTGGTCTTTACGTTGTGATATAAATGGTTTTCAATTTTGGCACAATGAAGTCCAAACTGTCCTCTCAGGTCCTCGGTCCTCCAGAGTAGGAGTGTACCTGGATCACAGAGCAGGTATTCTGTCTTTCTACAGCGTCTCTGAAACCATGACTCTCCTCCACAGAGTCCAGACCACATTCACTCAGCCGCTCTATGCTGGACTTCGGTTCTTTTATTATGACAATGACACCGCAGAGTTCATTAAACTGAAATAGACAGAAATGATTGAAGGACACTTGGCTAAAATGAGTGTTTTGGTTTCCACTTTCTTTCGTCTCCTTCATTGTAACTCAGAGGTCATTGATGTCCTGTTGCTTAACCTGTCACTAACACTTTATTGGTCAACTTTAACATTGTCTCATTTGTTGTCTAGTTATTGATTGGTTATGTTTTAATGAAGGAAATGTGTTTCACTCTGCGGAAACAATACATCCTCATATATTTTTGTAAATGTTGTATGTTGTTCTGATTAGCTATTTAATGTAAAACATCCAATGTGTAGTTTGTTTTATTTTCTACTTCTAGTTATTCTTTATGTCAAATTGTTTTTCATTTATGTGCACTGTCATGTTTTAATTTAGAGAAGTGGTCAGTTTCGTTGGGTGTTTTTGTGTTATTCTCTGGTTGGTTCCGTTTTCTTTTGTTTAAGAAAAATAACCATTGTAATATGTGCAACCCTGTGAAAAGAAGAAGTAATATGCACTCAAACAACTTTGTATGGAATAAAATGACACCTTATATAAAATGTCCTTAATTAATCGTTGTATTGTGTCCCAGTCAAATTAAAATATTGTTAACTTGATCAGACTGACATATTAGTTCAATAGTTAACTGCCAGTGATGATGCCGGTGAGGCCCATTCAGTCCAGCACAGCTCAGCCGGTGTGCTTGTTTATTAGACCCAAAAGCAGACGCAGAGAGAGATTGCTGGTGTTGACAAATGGCAAGCCTTTATTTGGCTGAAAGCGGTAACAAAACATGACTTCAGAAAACAAAAGCAGACTGAGGAACACTGAGCAAACTAAACGACTACGACACTCAGTGAAAACACCATGACAAAACTATGAACACTAAGTAAACGATGAAACACTAGGACCGTAACAATGGTGACAATAACAGATGACCTGGCACTGACTGATCTGAAACACACAGACTAAATACACATAAGGAGTGATCAAGGAAAGTGGAAACAGCTGACAACAATGAACATAATAACAGGATAGGGGAAGTGAAACTAAATATGACAAACAAAAACAACACTGGACGCTTTCCAAATAAAACAGGAAACATGGAGATGTAGACATGGCACAAACGTGATAATGGAAATCACACAGACCCAAAACATGACAGATAAGACACACAAACCACCAGGGGAAGTTAAACACAGGGGTGATCGCACAAGGGGAACCTGAGAAACCCTAAACTAACTCTTTAAACAAGGCATGACCAAATTTATTCAGATAACTGAAGAAAAAACTAGAATACAGATGAAAATAACAAGAAAACACGGAACTCAGGAGTACTGGGTCCTATGACCCAGGGCCATGACAACTGCAACTATCATGGGGCCTGGTGATGGGATTTCCGGCTCTTTTTAGAGAACCGGCTCTTTCGGCTCGGCTCACTAAAAAGAGCCGGCTCTTTCGGCTCCCAACTGGCTCTTCAGGTTGTTTTGTTGCTTTAATTAATTAATTATTAACAATAATATTAAATTATGCACAAAAGAAATTACTAATGTAAAAAAAGTGGTTTATTTGTACATGTTTATATATAAATATTTACGGTGGGCCCTAGAGACAAAACACGTACAAATTCCAAAACACATTTCTAGTGTTAATTGACCTTCCAAAACAGAGCTACCTAGATCACTTAAAATTGAAGCATATGTGTATTGTTTGTGTATTTATACACAAGCACTCATATATATTCAAATAATTTAAAAAAAATGCCTGTTACCTGTTACTGTTAATTTTCAGCTTTTTCCTTGTAAACAAATTTAAAGTGAAACAACACAAAACACTGGAAACCACAACACAATTAAAAATAAATTAAAATAGGAATACAACAAGAAGATGCATATTCTCTGTCATATGGACCTGCATGAATAAACTTTCTGAATCCTTTATCATCTGCAACTGAAAATAGTTGTGGACGATTACTATACCTTTCTAATGTGACGTTGTTGTCCCTGGCTCTCTTTCTCTCTCTCCCTCCTGCTCTGTTCCTGTGCTATTGCGAGTGTAACTACCGCCCCTCCCCCCTCATCCCAGCGCAAAGCACAAG